TCTGATCCAGTAAGTTAGAAATTCTTGAGTCTTGGCTTCAGTCTTGCAGTCATTCAGACAGTTTAAGCACAATCCCTTGTATGATTTTGACCCATGCCAGCTAGCATCTTCTCATAGAGTACCTGGACATAGTTCTAGGAATGACTTCAGCCAGAGACTGTTCTCAAAAGGCAACAGTCTTATTTAAAGTGGGCAAGATTTGATCTGTATGAAAGTTAGCCAAATCATGCTTTGAAATTGGTACCAGAGAATGGGCCATCTCCTAATTTAATTGTGTGGCCTCTGGTTCTAATTCTTGGAACCCCATTCTGACAAGCAAGCACCTATTCTATTTCTTTTTAAAAAAATATTCATATTTCAAAGCAAAGATAATTTACACTATTCTCCCTTAATTATTAGAATAAGCCTATCTATATGATCAACTATTTTACTAGGCAATATTCTCTTACTGTCCAAAAAATTGCTTCTGTCAGCTGCTTTATTGATGTTCTGGATGATTCTATACTGATGGCAAAGAACAGCACTCTAGATTCCAGCTGAAACACTTCCATTGTTCAAAACATTTTTGAGATTCATTGCATAACACAGCAACTGCTCCATAGGTAGCATGAATGGGTAACATAGTGGTTACGGCACACAGCCAAGTTTTGCTTTCTGTTTTTCTTACCAGACTTATTTTCTTCATCCATTTTTGTGCAATGAGCATTCTTTAGACAACCTCTTAGCAATCTTATAGTTTAATATTCTTTTTTTTCCTAATGATTTTAACTATTTGGTCTGTGAAGGGAAGATCAGAGGTGTGTTATATATGACTATGTAGTATATAAAACTGAATAGCTGTTGTATGCTTCATGCATTACAGCAACAAATTAATTTCCTCTTTAGAGTTCTAATAGGACCTAATGATTAAATCAGTTTCTAAAAATCACTTATGATTCTAAGTGTTTGCAAAATATGCATTTTAATAATCAATGAAGCATCTACTATAGCTAACAACAGGTTGATAAATGTTTGATGAAATGTCAATATTGACAGAGTGAAGTTTTTGAGGATGACTGTCCATATTTATCAATTATTCAGTGATGTACAAAATCTTTTGTTTGTATGTTTGCTGTTTACATTGGATTGTGTGTTATTTTCCTTTGAAAAGAGAATGATTAAATTGTAGGATAGAATTATCTGCTTATCTAATTCCCACTGCTACCTGGAGTGAACTGGAGGGAGCATTTTTTAAGTGAGCTACTGAGCATGCTCTTCTTGAGAAATACTGCATTATGTAGGGTGGGAGAGAAAGATATGTTTTTCACCCAGACTTTAATCTTATATTTACTGAGCCAATTGTTATGAAGAGTATTAAATCAACTCTTTCCAACCATGAGCCCAAAATTTATCACCGTGGTGCCAGAATTTCTCATACATAGTTTAATATTGTCTTTTTGGAGTCAGGACTCTCAGTACTGCCCATTATTAAGCTTGTCTTGTGTTACCTCCTGTTAAGAAAAAAACAGAAATCTTTGTCCAAAGCAGCAAAGAAAATTTCTTTCTTTTCAGCTATGTTTTTGATTGCTAAAACTTACATACCAAATATTTTCCCCAGGAATGAAACTCTGTGGCCTGAGCTGACTTTTTTATTTATACAGCACCACTATCTCAGTCAGGAACTTGGAAGTTGGTAGGGTCGCTACAGCTTTTGGTCTCCTTGCAAAAATCTACATAGTCAATGTAATCTAGAGTTATCATTTAAAAAATAAACTGATGAGTTTAACTGTTATATGTGACTGAGAATCCCAAAGCAGTTGATGTGTTGAGGCAGGGGTGGAAGGGTGCCCTTAAAGGAAGGAATTTTAAGAGCGCTGCTGTGGACCTCCATCTATTCTAACACCTCAAAACACGAAGTATAGTTTGTCTGAAAAATATTAATGTCTATCAAAGTTAAAATTTTATACACAATTAATATTTATTTAGGGCACATACAGTGCAGAATATTATAGACTTAAAAGGGTTCTTTGACTCTGTATTAAGCAATTTAAGCCAAGTGAAGGGAATCTAAAAATGCACTGTGTCAGCTAACATGGTACATTTGCATTAAGAGCATGCAGTCAAGTCTAGAAGAAACTTACTCATGTAGAATTTAAGTATGTCAGGGATACCTGATGAAAACTAGATCATAAGCTTTCAAATCTGAATTCTAACTGAGATATAAGAATAGCTGGAAGGCACAGGGAATATTTCTCTGTGCAAGCCAGAGTCATTATTTATGACATTTTTGTTTGTAGTCCTGCTTCCAACCCTCATATCTATAATTCTAAAACCTTTACTTTATGCACTGATAAATCATTTTTTCCCTCGGTTTTGACCACCTCCTACTTTGTTCCTAAGGTTGTGTGGTAGTCCTGGGTAAGTAAAGCAGGGTAGAAACAGAAACAGTTAAAGATACACAGGCAGCTGAGAGGACCAGAACCTTCAGGATGTGTTTGGGGGGCTAAGGAGCTAGGAAATGCATAACGCCCTGCTAGAGAATTTTGTGCTGTCAGCAGTTGGCTTTGAGGAAGGAACTTCTTTGGCAAAAAGTAGACTGGAAAGAGTCATGCCAGAAATTTGGGTCGCCTGTGAGGAAGCACGTAAAATCTTTCAAGACCTCAGGAGAACTAATCTTGCTCAAGGTTCCTGCAGCATCTATGAGTGATGACATCACCTATATGAAATTATGCTAACTTACAGCATTCTTTCCAACCCAGCACCAAAATACTGAAATTAATGTGAAAATTAATGTGAAAATACTTCAGTAAATGCAAATAGGTTCCAGAGCTTTGAGATGGATGTCTAGATTTTATCCCAAAAGCTGACAAGGAATTCTAAACTCAAAAGTCCGTTATTATTTAAACAGACACAGAACAGATAATCTTTCAAAATAAAGTAGATCAAAATAATTGCCTGAGAAGAAACGTTAAAGTGTTTATAAATTGTTCCCCCCCACACACATATACTACTTGTCCCTTTGTGGGCAGTTTTTTTAACAAGTCAGTGGCTTTTTGGGTTGCAAAAAACTCTACAGGCTCCTCTGGGTCTCCCTGTTATCTCTGAGGCTTGACTATGTGTTTGCTACCTGCTGTTTTCAGCTAGTTTCTAGTTTTTTTCTTGTACTGCAGGCTTCATGCTCTCTGTGTCCTTCATAATCTGTTATCTTTTTACCCGCTACAGCCCATATCTTCAAGGTTTTCCTCTGGACATGCTCAGCTTCTCATAGAAGAAGGAACAATGCCCCTATCCCTCCTAAACCTGAAGAGGTTCTACATCAGTCATTCTTGTTTCCAGGCACATGACACAGTGTATCAGGTGTAGGAGACAAGGTTTTGGTTATGGGGGAGCTACAGGGGTGACCTTTGGGAAGAGAGGCCGGGGCTGCCCCGTGCTGGGCATGGCTGGTTCCAACTGACCCACAGCAGGGGACAGCCCAACAGCCAAGTTGGTGGCACCTCTGTGATAACATATTTAAGAAAGGGCAAAATGCAGCATAGGTGAGTGAGGAAAAGAAAGGGTGAGAAACAATCCTACAGACTCCAAGGCCAGAGAAGAAGGAGGTGCTCCAGGCAGATATTTTCCTGCAGCCCATGGAAGAGACCACAGTGGAGCAGACATCCACACTGCAGCCTGTGGTGGGCCCCACGGCAGAGCAGGTAGATATTCCCTGAAGGAAGCTGTGGCCCATGCAGGAGCAGGTTTGTCCTGGAGGAGTGCAGCCTTTGGGAAGGACCCACGCTAGAGCAAGGCGAACCTGGGAGGAGGGAGGAGCGGCAGAGCAGAGTTGTTACAGATTGACCACAACGCCCACTCCCGATCTCTACTACGCCACTTGGGGAGGGGTGGGGAGGTAGAGAAGGTGCGAACGGAGGAGGGAACTTGAGCCTGGGAAGAAGGTGATTGTGGTAGGTTGACCTTGGCTGGACTCCAGGTGCCCACCAAGCCACTCTATCACTCCCCCTTCTCAGCGTGACAGGGGAGAGAAAATATAACAAAAGACTCACGGGTTGAGATAAGGACAGGGGGAGATAACTCACCAATTACTGTACTGCTGAGGTGGGGAGTGAGAGAGCAGCTGGGTAGGGGACTGGCAGCCAGACAAGGTCAACCCACCATATATAGTAACAGAAAATAAAAGAAATCCCTTTCATCCCAATAAAGTGTCTATTTATTTCCCTTCTGTGTATCCATTATAACTCATTACATGATTAAATTCCAAAATTGTTTGCCATCACTATAAGCATAATGGATAATGCTCGGTTAATGAGCCTCCATTTGATAATTTGGGTTTTTTTTTCCCTTGTTCAGTGTATAGCTCCAGGTTTATTTACCAAATACTACTCAATCTCTGCTATAAGATATAATTACTAAAGACTCCTTCTGTCAGATAAGAGTTACACAGTTGTGTAAGCTATGTTCATTGTCTTTCTATTTTTGATACATAGGATAGTATCTGTAGGAATTAACAAGTAGTTTCTGAGTTCATCAGTTGCAGTTTTTCGACACTGCTTTTTGCTAAATCAAATAACCATTATGATGACAGAGGAAAGCTGAATTGTCCTGCAGTATCAGAAACTGAAGAGATGAACTGGAATAATCAAATATGGTTTATATAGTAGCAAAATTTGTATTCATGCTTTGAACCTTAATATCTTCCTATAGTTTCAGATGTCCAGTGCTTTTGTTGGCTCTTTTTTTCATTGTTTGTTAAAATATACTTTAAAGCTCTAATCTTTTCCTACTTCTTTTGGGCTTCTCTGTTCTATGAGATTGAAAAATTGAAAAACTGTGCTCTAAGTCAGTGACAACAGTTAGAGAAAGTGCTCTATATCCCACATTAATTCTCAGGCAATGCTAACAAGTATCTTTTGAGGACTCTTTCTTCCTCCTGTCTTATTCATTTTGTGTTCTGTTTGGGATTTTTTCTGTTTACTGTATGAAAAAAAAGGAAATAAACAAATTAAATCTGTGTGTTTCAGGTGTTACTCTGGAATCAGATTCCTGCCTCGACCCAGGGATTCCTGTGAATGGCCATCGCCATGGTAACAACTTTAATATCCGCTCCACCGTAACTTTTAGCTGTGATCCAGGGTATACACTCAGTGATGAAGAACCACTCATATGTGAAAGAAACCATCAGTGGAATCATGCATTACCCAGCTGTGATGGTAAGTGTCAAGTTATTCAGATGGCAGCTTTAAAGTCCAAGAAAGTTAATCTCCTATTTCTGAGAACTAATTAAGCTTATCATTGCTACTACCTCCCTTCAATTATACCAAGATCCACACTTTTCAAAAGTGATTTTACTGATAATAAAAGCCATACTTTACAACTCTGTATCAACTTTCAGTCAAGTACTGTAATGTACAGTGAAATTTACAGGTACAGTGAAATTCACTAACAGAAAAATTAAAATTCTCAGAAGGTGCCACTGTTCAGTTGTGAATGAAAATGGTGCCATACAACTAATATTTTTGAAGCAAAGCCAATAAACTTAACTTACATTTTAAACTTGGAATACTGCATACCACAGTGATTGCTCAAAATACTAAAACAGATCATGATGAGCCTATGTAATTAATTTCTTTTACATATTTTTGTTTGGAAATTTTGGTTAGTTCATTAATTTTTGGGGGGATATGCAACATGAAACTGTCTTGAGCTTTCATGAAATATTTTTTTAAATGCTGAACTATACTAGCAAATATTTCTGTGCTCTTTTTTATCATTGTATTTTTTGCTAATTTCTTTTTCTGTGAACTACAGAATCAACTCAATTTTTTTCGTGGAATGCTTCTATAGTTGCTACAAAATCCCTCTGATAGAAATCACAGAAAATAAGATCCAAATGTAGCTAAGTATTTCAATAGGGATAGAATCCAGCATCTCTGAAAATTCTCCATAAGCTCCTTTTGTTAAACTTCCTGCTAAAACTTCCTATTTTCTCCTTTCTGGTTGCTAAATGATTACCTTTAAAAGCATGTTTGTCTTGACCAGGCTTCTTTCGTGTTAAGATATAACTGCATTCTAAGGCAGTGATGAAAGGTCAGTGTGTGAAGGGGGAAGACCCAAGCCCATATCAACAAAGGTTCTTGCTTTAGTGAATTACTTACATTAGTGAATTTCTTCTTCTTCTTAGTGAATTTTTCTTTTCACGTCCAAGGTTTTCATTGATTACAGTGGAATGTCGAAGGGCAAACTTAGAGTTGGATTCAGAAAAGTATTTTAGTTTCTAACTCTGTTTTAAACTGTTTTGTTAAATCTGAGCACTTGCTCTCACTACAGAATTCTGGCCCCCTGCACAAAACATATAAGCTGCCAAAAGATATAGCTCTTAATCACTACAAAACAAACTAATCTACCATTCAAACTCACTCACCTTGTAAGCATTACAACTTGTTCCTCCTTTGCAAGGACAGAGGCAAACTATTGTTTTCAAGTGCATTTTGTGATCAAAAGTTAGAGTGTATGTTCTAGGCACAGCTGATGAACTTTGCAGTGTCACTAATCTTCCTGTAAGCTGTAATTTTAAAATGAGCAAAACATTTTTAGTATTCTTTCATTGATTTTTTATGGGTTCCTTTTGCTTGTTTGCTTTGCTTCAATGGGTTGAAGAACACTATTGTAGGAATCTTGACTTTGAATAGTATCCTATTCTTTTTCAATTTACTTTGTGCTAAAATTTCTGAATGTATTTTTGATTTAAAATACCAATATTCAACTCTTTTGTTTGGATATGAATGTTGAACTACAGAAAGATCTAGTTAATTTTCACTCGTTGGAAGACAGTCCTTATTTCCCAGGTCCATCACCCACTTTCAGCATAAGTGTAAAGCACAAAATTTCAAGCCTTTCTAGAGCAGGGCCTCTAGGCAAGCAACGTACAAGCGTTACACTCAGTTTCTTTTTTTTTTGCCTCACATATTCAGCTACATTGAACTAACTAGTCTAAAAAGACAAAATAAAACTCACATTCTTTTAGGTAGTTATGGTGTTAGAGTATTTGTCGTTTGAGGCTCAAAAAGTTGAGACCCAAATTTTTGAATGTGAGAGATTTAACTGAGGTTGAAACGAGCATTTTGCAGTCACCTGCAGATGTTCTCAAAATTTAAACTTCAGAAATTAAATCAGCAGAATAAATCCCTAAGGAAAAGCATGTTGCTTTGTTTCATGCCAACAAAGAAGAAAAAGAACTGTGTACAGAGACACAGTGGCTAAAGTTTGCTCTATGTGTCATTCTCAAAATACAGTAATGTCAAGGTAGAGCATGAAAATAATTTTTAAGGGAGAGCTAAATAAAACCAGATCATTTACATATTTTAAATTTTAAACTTAAACCTGTAAATTATTTGTAATTATTTAATATCTGCTTTAAGGAATGTTGCACAGTCAAATATTTTTCTTCCTTCTGTGATGTTTACAGAATAAGAGGGATTTTGAATGACTGTATACTACCGTTCATTTATGGTATTATGAACCTGGTATCTGTAATTATATTATTTATTATTAAGTAATGTTATAAACCATATATTTACTGTGGTTTTAGCCATGCATATTCTCATTCTTGCTTATGTGCAGAAATATGTATATGCAGGCAAAACCAGACTAGAAACTTTTCCTTTTCTTCTACTTATTTATGAATAGCTATAATACATAAATTAAAAAAAAACAATAAAAACTTTAACAAACACCTTAGGCTAATAATAAATGAAAAAAACCCCAAAACCTTAGCTATAATGCCAGCACCTTTGTATGTATATATATTTTTTATATATATATACATACATACAAGTGCTGCAAGTTTATTGAACTTTTTGTCATGTATATTTGCCATCTAGTTTATGGCAAAGTATATTGCTCTATGTGAGGAAGAAGACTAAAAGCATCTTAATGCTTTGTTGTTTTATTGTTAAATATTTAGTTTATTAAAATTTAAAAAAACCAAACCCCACACATAAAAAGCTGGACAGCAACAGATGAGTGAAAAGCACAGCCATGCTGTATTTATAAGATCAGTGAGCAATTCAGCATGGAAATCTTAAACTTTAATTAATTTGCCATGCAAATTTGAGCAGCCTAGTTTAGCAAATGCTAGTATGCGTAAAATGTTTTCTAGCAAAGTTCTTGTGTCTTTCAAAATATTCAGTTCCAAATAAATTACTGATGATGGGACAATCTGAATCTTTGAAAGAGAGGAAAATACACTTTTTTTTCCAGAATGTTGCAGAAGAAATCAAATAGAGATAAACATTTGCATTATTTGGAAAAAAAAAAACCATTTTGTTTGTTAAATATTTTTGTTTGATAAAAATGGAGTTCAATGTATACCTTTCTAAATATGTAGTAAAGAAAAGTAGCTGCAAGATATTTGATTTTTGAGTTAGTTCACAAGAAAAGCTTTAATCTTACTTCTTAAATACTACTACAATAGGAATTAATACTTGCAATATTCTGGAACAAAGTCGTACTTATTTTTGTATTCTGCTAACTAACAGGAGAGGCTGTAGATGAAAAATAAAACTCCCTTTCCAGGACTAATTTAAGAATAAACAAATTGTTGTCAAATATGAATATCACGGCTTTGGGTGAATTAACTTTTATTTTAATACTTGACCTTATTTTTAATTTTAAGGGTAGTTCAAAAAGTGAAATAGATTATTTTTTTTTTTTTTTTAATAAAAACAAGGACTTCTATATGACTTCTTTTGGTTTTTTTCCTCCTTTTTTTTTTCATTTGTTAAGCTTTATGTGGTGGATATATTCATGGGAAGAGTGGAACAGTTCTTTCTCCAGGTTTTCCTGATTTTTATCCAAACTCTTTAAACTGCACTTGGACTATTGAAGTGTCACATGGCAAGGGTAAGAATCAAATATGAATTGCATATGTATATTTAATGTCTGTGTTTAAAAAAATTCAAACACACATACACAATAAAATGCCTTTTATGAATTGAGTTAAATTAATGCTCTCTGCCATTCTTCTGAGGCAGAAGTTTAATTTCCCAAAATAAATATCTTCAAATGTTGTGTTTCCAGTTTGTGTTTCTTTTGCAAAAGAAACATTCTTTTAACAGTTACCAGAGGAAATGTGGTTTAGTCTCGGAAAATGGGCAGAAAGTAGAAGAGGTAAAATATATGAAAATAACAGTTACTTGTTAAATAGCACTAACTTTTTCAGTGAAAGCTGTGGGAGCCTTATTGATAGATCTTCTCCATTATTAAGCATGAAGTAGCAGATTTGATCTGTTTATTAGTAACCTTAGATTTCAGACTTAAATCATTAGGGCCAAAAAATGTATATATTTATGTTCTATATACAGTAGAGTAATGTTTGGATGCACAGTTAAGCTTGGCAGCTTATCCATTAGCGAAATCTGTAAAAGAACTAAGGAAAAAAGCCTAGGAAGTACTAATGATGTGTTACATGCCACTGAATCAAAACATAATAAAAATATTCCTCTATCTCCTTTCTATGGCAAGAAAAGTCTTTGTTATGTGTGATAGTGTGAGAAGTATATTGGAAGTTTCTACTGTTTAAAATCTTCGTACAGTTGGATTTTTGTTTAAAACTCATATGGTGTTTTAAATGTAGAATACATGAGAAGACTTTCTAAGAAGAATGTTGTTCCCCATAGTAAATACTTGTATTTGAAAACCTAACTGTAAGTCAAAATTTAATTCATTGCTGGACTGGAAGTTGGCAACTGAAAAAACAGTCATGACTTCAGTAAAAGACTGGTCCCAGAAAATATGAATCTATATATATGGAAGATAGTACATAAAACTTGTATCTGCTTTTTCCTTGTATATGGGCACTTCCCTTAAGTTCAGAGTAAAAAACAGAATTGTGTTGAAGGAAATGCAAAAATAAAACATGAATACAAAATTTTAGCCAATTATTAAAGTATGTCTCCTAGTTTAATAGTGAGATCATGGTAGAGATTATAAATGAGACATACAGGAACTTGAATAAAATCTATACAATACAAATTTAGATTTCTAGAGTGCTGTATACAAATAACACTGAATCCCATCAATTTTCTTATGGGACCTATTGATTTACAGTGAGCTAAACAAACATCCACACTGCATCTATTGATTGGTTGAGCCCAAGTGCTTTCTGCAAGTTTTATTTTCTGAATTTCAAGTTTTGAATCCATGTGTGACTTTTTCTAAAAACCTTTCCATATAATGTAAGATTTACTTTCTGTGTCACCTATGTATAATGGAAGAGAAAGACTTTCTATTAAATGCTTTTATTTCCCCCCTTTTTAATATATTTAAAGGTGTACAGCTGGTTTTTCATACCTTTCACCTTGAGAGCTCTCATGACTATTTGCTCATCACTGAAGATGGCAGCTTCACAGAACCAGTAGCCAGGTTAACTGGCTCAGTCTTACCCCCTACAATTAAAGCTGGCCTCTTTGGAAATTTTACTGCACAGCTTCGATTTATATCTGATTTTTCAATTTCTTATGAAGGATTCAACATAACATTTTCAGGTAAGAAATTCCATTCTGCTAAATATCCAGAAACAGTTTCTAGATAATATTTTCACTTGTAGATAGCAGAAACATTATGAAACACCAGTAAAAAAAGACAATAGAAATTGTATAGTCTCTATTGTAGAAAACTGGCTGAGGTTTACAAGGTGGCTAAACAGATTGAGGATGTTGGTGATGTGACTGTTTTAAGGAGAAGTTTTTCTTGTTCTCAGAGAACCATCAACAGTGTGAAAAAGAAGTTTAGAGGAAAATTAAGGGGAATAAAAGTGCAAAGATAGAAGGTACTGCTTCAGAACAAAGAAACTAACTGTTTTACTAAAAGGAGTATAGAAACTGTAAAAAAGCAGTAGTGTGCTAACTCAGAGTCACAGAGGAGTCTAATTTGAAGACTGATTTTGGAACAGAAAACGTATATATAAAAGAAAAGATTTATTAACTGTTGATGTATGAGGAAGTTCTGATCATTTTTCCAAATTCCTCTTTAAGATAATTGAAAAATTTAAGTTACTGCTGCTTATTTACAGTCTTCTAAAACTAGCTGACGTATAAAATACATTTCTCAATAGTTTTCTTTGCCTATCTCTATTACTGGAATGTAGAATATTTACAGACATGCATATGAATGAATCAACCACTAGTTGAGATGCTCATGGACATGGATATTCTGTGGAGGAAATGCATAAGGAACTCATATATCCAACTCTTTTACATTATTTTTCAAGAACTGAAAAAAAATTAAGAAGTTTTGTTGAGATCTGGCAATGTTTACCGATGAACATGCTATTTATGAATAATGTATCTCATTTAGCTTGCTTATTTAAAAAAAAGAAAAAAAGCCCAACTCGCTGATTAGAGCAATGGTGTTGGATTTACTCATATCAAATGCTGAATTACATTTGTTCTGGATACTTTGGATTAACCAAATCAGAGGTCAGCAGTTTTGCAAGTTTGGAATGTAAATGCAAATATTAAATGGTATCGCTGATAGTTTATTAATAAATAACTCAAAAGGGTAGCAGGCTAGGTAACTCGTAGAAAAATACACAAAATACCATTATGGATGCAAGGGGAAAAATTGTAGAGTATCAAAATAAGTGGATCACAGAATTTTTCAAACACAAGCAAAGGTTTATGCCCTATCTGCAATGAATATACACATAGATGGCCATCATTATATTAAATAAATATTTTGAGAAATATTATCAGGTACATTAATTTTATGACACAAATGAGTGAGTCTATTTTCTTATTTTCACGCAATCAGAATGTATTACTCCACAGTAAGAAGTATTTAGTGAGATGACCTTAACCTGTTTTGAATGTCATCTAACAGAAATTTGTCAGGAAAATTCCCAGGTGCCTAAAGGTCTGTCACAGGGTATCTCCATGTCTACCTCAGCCTTTATAGTGCTGAGCAGAGGTAGTAGATCATGTGTTTTCAAAACTTACAACTTTTGCCAGCAGAAACTGCTGTGATGTATAGATTCCTTCTACTATTCAGGACCTTCCCACAAGACAGTTACTATAAGGAAGGATTTCTTTATTTTATTCAGTAAAAGTCTACTGTTTAAACACTCATTCAGAAACTTTGGATTAGTTTCTTCCCCTGGCTAAATGGAGTTTCTTCCTCTAAGTAAGTGGATTTGACTTTACCTTCCAGCAGCCTCCAAGGTAAATGTTTTAGAAAATGTTTTTTCTTATCAGTTATCAGAAATGTCTCTCTTCTAAATTATCTCTTGGGTCTTTTGGTTCATATTTTGAAGAATATAAAATCAGACTTTGGGGGTTAGACATAAAGCTGATCTTTTTCAACACCTTTTCTTGGACAGTGGTCAGTAATGAATATGTAAGGAAATAAAAATCCCACAAAACATGACAATCATACAGTGATACTTCCCCAGCACACTCTGTGAGGATGAGGGAATGTGTGGCTCAGACATTTACTGAGTTCGATGTAGTCCCTCTGTATGTTACAGCTCTGATTTTTTCCCATTAATTTGTTCTGACTCCACCTGAATTATTCCTGATGCATACTTCTAAAAAAGACAAAAAAATTAGGCACTGGAGACTTCTTTAAAAGAATATGCATATATTGTTTTCAGTTTGGTGACATCTGTAGTATTTCTAACAGAAATGCAAATAGAGATTGTCTGATTAAGAGTGTAGCTTTACTTAGCAGAACTCAAGCAAATTTTGAAAATGTAGGTTTTCATTAACCTGACCCTTTGTTTGATTTTTTGTTAGATTTTATTCATTACATAATCATTTTTTTAACTGTAATTCTCACTTCTAAAGCTGTTTGGGAGTTCAGATGAAATGAACCAAGAATTATATCCAAAGGATGTAATTAAACAAAATTATAGTAAACCACTGACAGTACAAGCTGATTACAACCCTTGAAATTAAGAAAATAAATGTAGTGTGGGTGGGAAACAATAGAAACATAATTACTGTATATATAGCCGTAATAGACATACAGAAACAGTACTGGGTTTTAGTAGAGACCACAGTTCTGAAATACATGTTTTCCAAGTGTTCCATACTGACACAATGCAACTAATTTGGTAAGCTTTTTTTTTTTCCATGCAGACAACTTGTCCCATTTATTTATATATTATGTTTTATTGTCTGCAGAGTATGATCTGGAGCCATGTGATGATCCTGGTGTTCCTGCCTTCAGTAGGCGAATTGGTTTTCATTTTGGTGTTGGAGATTCCTTGATCTTTTCTTGTTTCCCTGGATATCGCCTGGAAGGTGCTAATAAACTTACCTGCCTGGGAGGTGGTCGGCGTGTATGGAGTGCACCTCTGCCAAGGTGTGTGGGTAGGTGGTCACATGCTTTCATTTCATTCATCAAATCGTTAATAGCACATGGCATGTGTCAGAATACTGGGTAGAAAACAAAGCGCTTGGGTTGAAAGGATTGATCCCCAAGCTGCACAAACTTTAAAGGCAGTGCAATATCTAAGTAATGCATGTCTCTTTTACTTAGAGAACAAAAATGAGAAAAAGGCATAGTTAGAATGGTGATAGAAAATAAGACCAAAATGTCTTGTAAGATAAAATGTAAATCTAATTATTGAACAGTGTTTGCCATAATTAAGGTATAAATTTCTTACTTTGTCTTTTAGTTTAAAGAAACAATGTTTACAGTTTTTAGGTGAAAATAGCCTTTGTTAGAGTCCCTCATCTGGTTTTAAGGGTGTTTTTTCATACCGTGTTTTTTATCCTTGTAACCCTAACCTGTTTTTTGATACAGTTTATAAACTGTATTACAGGATTGTAAACTGTAATTTTTAAAATTAATGTGCTGTTGTAAAAAAAACAGTAACTGTAAACTCAAATTGAGTGAACTGTTCTTTTCCGGGAAAAGGTCTGGGACTGGATTTTATAAAATTTGTAATGTTGCTATATTTGATTTCTGAGATCGTTTTATCACCACCACGTGAAGTGAATCTGATCAGGTACTATTTACATAATGCTTCTGAAATGTCAAATAGTTCTACACACCTCTAAATGGATTTCCTTAAGCAGGTTCTTGTTTTAAATAAGATTTTATTTCATTGCGGAAGAAAATCAGCTTCAGCTTGTTTCTTTTGTTTGTTTTAAAGGGTTGTATCTCTATATCTGAAAAAATTATGTCACCTACATTGTATATGCACATAAGATACACATACATAGCTTTTATGGAAAAAAGTAAACTATTTCTAATTTTGTTTTAAAAACCTTGGTTTATTTAACCTATGATGAAAGAAAGTAACATGATAGAGAAACCGATATCATATGGAGTTTGCCATACATTTAGAAATTTTAGGTTTAAGTCTTAGGCTATTTTCAGCTTGATATTTCTTAAAAGTATCACTGGCTTCCTAACACTGTTTGTCTGTGAATGTTGGCTAACCAAGTGCACACCATCCTATATCACAGAATCACAGAACACAGAACTTGAAAGGAACCTCAAAAGATCAACTAGTCCAACGTTTTGTGGGAGAGGGAGCCTAGATGAGATTATCTAGCACCCTGTCCAATTGCATCTTGAAAACCTCCAGTGATGGGGACTCTACCACATCCCTGCGGAGGTTGTTCCAGTGACTGATTGTTCTCACTGTAAAAAATTTCTTACGTTGAGAGAAACTTGTACCTGTCGCCCCTTGTCTTCTCCATGTGGCTCCTTGTGAAGAGAGAGCCTTCATGCTCTTTGTACTCTCTAAGTACCAGAATACTGTGATGAGGCTCCCTGCCCCCCCCCCAGCCTTCTCCTTTCCAGGGAGAAGATACCATAACTCCTTCAGTCCATATTGATTTAAAGTGTGCAAATTTCACTAGAGTAATATTCATATGCTCACTTTGAACCTAGCATTTTATTTTCCCTAATTTTAAGAGTGTTCAGCTATTCTATAGCTGTTCGTGTATGTGAATGGAAAATTAGCTCCTTATTTCTCTGTTCTTGAAGAAAAGATGACTGTTAATTGTGCATTATTACAATTCTTAATAGGTAATATGTTAACCATTAGCTTTTTCAAGGTAACAGGCTATATCCATGTGCAATTAAAACTGAAAATAAAATCTCTTGCTACTGCATGTTGCTTAACTGTTGCTCATTAAAAAAGTTCCTTAAGTACCTGATTCTAATACAGTCAACATATTAATGTATTTAGTACCAATATAATTTTAGGAAACAAAATGGAATTAATAAAAATCATATTAATATAGAGCATTTTCTAAGCAAATCACCGATATATTTTGGGACTGATAGAAGAAAGGTAGGTCTTTCAGGAAGAAAAGTGTTTCTACCTAATAAAAATATCTATGAATGTTATTAATTTCTGTGCTATCATATCAAAGTACAAAAAGGTAGTTTACAAATATGATTCTGTATCTGACATCTTAAAAACCACAAACAAAATATAGAAAGGGAAATATACTTTTCTATTTAAATAATGGTAAGTCTCTATCTCAAAAAAACCCAAACAAAAAAGTACCCCCCAAAAGCCAAACACAGTCCTAGGGGACTGTAGGTTGACAGAACATTATGAAAAATTGCTAGAAGACACAAAGTGGCATTAAAGTGAGAGGTTACAAATTCATTATCTAACTCCCTAGGGGACAGCTCTATGTCTGTCACGTACCAGGAATTTAACTGGTTCCAGTACTATGGGTTGTGAGCAGGGGTTCTGAGTCTGCAGATATTTTATAGTGGATGGGATTCAGATTCAGATCCAAAGATCTAAATTTGAATATTTGCAGTGTCATTGCATACATGTGAGCAAGAATTTTAAGCTTTAATTATAGATAGCTAAGTCAATAAATTCAGTAGAAATCCTAGATTTATGTATCTATTTTACATTGAGATGAATCAGTCTCTGGGCCCCATTTAGATGCCTAAATAGAGGAATTGCTTCTATTTATTTATTTATTTCTAGTCAGTCATTGACAAGTGTCTCAGTTGGCCTGCTCATTCCTATTGTCTCACCTCAACATCTTTATTGCTCATATACCTTTTTAGCCAAGAGGTCAGTTCCAGAGCTGAAGTATTTCTGTAATCCAGCACATAGCACATTTGGTTACCTGCATCTACGTTTTGTTGGACCTACATTGAATTCCCATTTCTGCTACATACTTGTGTGTTATTATTTGTCTATTCTGAGATAATCTAATCTCTGAAAAGTGAATTGATACTGCCTATATTACACATGGAAAGATGGTATGCTTTAGGAGGGATTGGTAGACTTTCTAGACAAAGACCCATGGATTAGGGGTTGAAGGTATAAAATTTCAATCTTGAAATCACCTGTAGTTTCTGAGAAATGCATTTAGTGAATCCTTTGGACTTTCGAGGTCCTCTTGAGGAGGATGTCTGTACCACATAAGTAGAACCTGCCTTTGTAACATCATGCTACAGTTTAGCCAAAGCAGGGGCAAAATTACAACCACTTTTAATCTGATGTTGACTAAAAGTTCAGATAAATTCTAGACCTGTCTTCATAACCAAGACTTGCAAGAAGAAAGACAAAAACCTTTCCTTGTGGTAGGTGGTGTGTAAGGGGAATCCCAGGAGTCCCCTTTCATGTAAGAGCCAGTTGGTTGCTAGACTAAGAAATGTCTTTTGCTGCTCCTCTAGTTAAATTCTGAAAATGCCAAAGAATCAGTAAATTGCATTAGGAAGGAATACATATGTATTTAAATGTATTTAGTATATAGTGAGTGAATATGTATGCTAACTATTGTGACAACACTGGAAAAATAAGAAAATAATTTACAGACAACTTTAAATCGTGCAGGATTAATTTAAAGTTGACAACATGCACTAAAAGTATATAATCTGCTAATCTTTATGCATACATTAGTAATGTAAGGAAACAAAAGCTAATATGAGTTCATTTTATGTAAGGTTTCTTTTTTCCCCAATATATTTTTTACTACCTTTTAAGTATTATTATTTGGGAAGTTATCTGTATCGGTTCCCAAATTCAATACTTATCATTTTTATATATGAGGTTAGAGATATTTGTTGGAATAAGAGAAAATTAAATTAATATTGTTCAGTTTATATTCTTTGAAAAATTGAATAATTATTATGAAGTTCCATATATACTAAGATTTGTGCTAGAATGATAAGCTATATTGTTGGTGTTGAAGATTTTATTCAAAACTACCATCTTGTAAACCTTACTTCATAAAATGGAAATTTTTGTTTTATATTATTCATTTTCATGTTTGAATATGTTCTCTTTTTATTGCTCAATTTTATTTATGTGTCATTTGAATATAAATTTTGAGCCATTTTTGGTTACAGAACATATATTTTTCAGTTATGTGCAGCCAACATTCATATGAACAAAGATGCTCAACCACACAAAAGGCTCAAAAAGTTATCATTTTGAGTATGTAAATTCAATAAGAAATTGTTCACCTACTTGCATTTCATTTCAATACTTGTTAACAGACATACATTTCATTTTCTTAGAAGAGGAATCAAAATGCATGTCTGCACTATACTAAGTAGCAATAAAATCTATACTAATTATTTCCTATAAAAATTAGTACCTTATTTAATATATGTAATCTTCAAGAAGTTATAGTTCTTGGGAAATTTGGGATATTTGCCTCTCTGGGGTTGTTTGGGTTCTCTGGTTTGGTGTTTCTCTTTTTCTGGTGGGCTTCTCTGTGTTCCACTCAAACACATTTATTTTAGTTTAGATATCATAAAATTGTATTGATCTGCAGGAGTACTGTTACCTTGTGCTGAAGAAATTTTTTATATTGTTTTCATGTATGTTTTGGTTTCTTTAAATGTTTTTATCTTTTAGAAAGCCTTTCCTACATAATGTACAGTAATCAGACATTAATACCTGATATCTTGAAAGTGCTCACTTAGTTATCCCTATAATGTGAATAACATATTGCAAAGTTGCAAAGATTACCAAAGCATCGATAATTAGCTTAATGAAGTATCAGCCATTGAATTAGCCATGAATTTATAGGACTAGTGTAAGAACTTACTGTGCCAGACACAAGCGTAACTTAGAGATACATAACCAATCACATGTATACATAAGTCTGTAATTCATACAGAAAGAAAATTTATTTACAGAGAGCTCAACATTTCCTTTTTGTTCTTATTATGTTCAGTTTTGAATAAATTTATAGACTGTTTCTAAGACATCCGTCATTAAATCCATGTACAAGACCCCACTTCCTAATTGATAAGAAAGCCTTTTATAAATTATGCAGAGACAACTGGCACTTATCTAAAACAATATATCTAAATAACTCTTTTAACTCAGTCTATGAAGAAAATTTGGTCTCTAAGAATGCAGCAG